TTTTTTTTTGAAAAAAGCTGTTTTTTTTTCTCTTTTTCTTTCATTTTTTAAGTTTTTTTCTTTATTCACTCATCCTTTATGTTTTTGTCTGAACGAACATGGATAATACTGATACTGATGACGAGGATGATGATGATAAGAAGAGTGTAGGGACATGTGTCGCGAAGAAAAAGATGGCTTCCGGGGACAAGAATGACTAGAAAAAAAATAGCGATTTATTTGAATAAATCCTTTTAGACAAATAGATGTTTTTTTGTTGTTCTGGTGATGTTTGTGTTTGTTGTCGCATTATGATATTGTTATAGCTTCACTTTAATATAGTACTCTAACGGCAGAAACCAGAGTTGAACTTTTTGGGAATTTTCAAAGTTTTTAAACAGCTTTTGGTCTTCTATTTCCTTTTTTTATTTTTAAACAGCTTTTTGTTTATACGATTTTGATCTGTTTAGTCGAGGTGCAGTAGCGCCTGTCTTTACTCTCTTTATGCACGAAACTCTTGATCAATTTGGACGCAGAGAAATTGCAGCAAAAATGGCTCTGTTTTATTTTATTTTATTTTATTTTATTTTATTTTATTTTATTTTATTTTTTATTTTATTTTATTTTATTTTTTTTGGATTGTGCTTGTTCCACCATTGCTTCTTCTGCGGTTAAGTTAGTTAGACGTGTTTCTGTCTACGCACAAAGAGTTGTCTTTTAAATTAATTACTAGTACTTGGTGACTTTAGACGACTTGGTTTTAATGGGTTACAATTTTAAGGTGAGGACAATCAGGTTACTGCAAACGCTCACATCAGGGATTTCTCTGAAAGCTTGACTCAAGGATTACAAGATTCTACAGGAGTACATCTGATCCACACTGCTGAGCCTGTCAGTGGCTGTTTTAAGTATTTTGGAATTTATTGGTCTGATATCAGAGAGTTTGGCCATCTCATTGTCTAAATGAAGTAATGTTGGCATGACAGAATTAGCTTGAACCAAAAAGATGTATTAAAATTGACTAACAAGTGTTTGGTAATTCCGCTATAGTTACAGTGGTGCATGAAGTAGAGTTGATTTTTACTTCTGTGCAATTAGTTAGTTTTTTTCGCGATAGTTGATTATAGAGTGAACTTTCTTTTTAGATGTTATCTCGTAGTCCTGAGATGGACGCCGCTGATGGTGATTTGGAAGCATTAATTGCAAAAGCGCAGGTGGTCAATATAAATTGGAAACTTTTCCGACTATTTTAATAAAATGGTTCAAAGGACTATTGGTTCTTATTTAATTGTGTAGATTTTACTGATTTTATTCTTGCCCTTTTATATTCGGATTGCAGCATGAACCAGTCGCTACTGCAATGGCTGATTCTACATTAGATAGTACGGTTCCTGATAATGTTATTATCACTCCGAGCACGGTACAGCCGAGGTAAAAACTATTATTTTCATTTGAATTGGTTGTTTTTTTTTAAATTAGTTCGTTTAAAAATTATCAGAATAAATCCTTGACCATTTGCTACTTCTAGGTTCCTATCGGATTAAAACTAATAATTTCTCAAAGAAATCAGCTGCTAGTTCATGAATCTCACTTTCTTGAGTTTTTTATCTGGCGCATGCGCAAATTAGGAGTAATGCCTGCAGATTTAGCTGATTTTCCCGGTTTTTCTCTTTTCGAAATCAATTTGGAAACAGTTATTTAATGATGACTGCATGGAATAAGTATATCTGATATTCAATTTTTTTTGCAGCAAACTTCTTCATACAACGTGAGTTCACTAACAGAGTTGCTTTCCTTTGAGGACTGTTTGCAAATTCTTTAGTTCTATTTACGGAAAGCCTAGTTTTGTACTTTTCAACATTTTAGCCTTATTTTGCCAGTGCATGTATCTAACGTTTTTGCGTATTTAAAATACAGCTCTTTTGTAATATTTTTGCTTTAAAACTCTAATGTTTTAATTCTTAAATTAAATTTGATAGTAGGTGTTGAATTGCTTGGTTGTTTCTAATAAATATTTTGAGTTCAAAAAGCATGCGCTTTTTTTTTTTTTTTTTTTTTTTTTTTTTTTTTTTTTCTGCTGGCTGTGAGCTGAAAGGTTGTGGGTGTGCCAAATCACTGCAAGTTTACAGCTTCGAAGCACTGTTAAATTTTGCAAATTTCTTTGGTGACCATTTGTTTTTTAGTTTCCTTATCTCATTCTTGGTTGATGCTCGCGGAGGAGCCATGCGAGGTTGTCGCCATTCGGGAGTAAGAATCATAATACCCCCACGGAAGACTGCCCAGCCGACAAGGATCACTTGTCGTTACTTACGAAAGGTCATTGTTGTTTTGTCCTCGAGTTTTTTTTTTTTGAAACTCAACTTTTAATACGAATGAAAAATGTTATTTTTTGATTTGATATTTCCAAATTTTTTTGCTTAAAACTTTTTTCATTGAAGAATATTTTGAAAAACTATCGTTCTTGGATTTCCAGGACAAGTTGGCTCACCCGCCACCCTTGAGCGAAGGCGAGGCTTTGGCGTCACGTATTCTCGAAATGTCTCCTCATGGAGTTCAATTCTTGGGTCCAGTAATACTAGAAGTTCCTCATTTTGCTTCACTTCGTGGTCGTGAACGTGAGATAGTTATTCTGAGGTCAGACGATGGACAGCATTGGAGAGAGCATCAGTTGCAAGCAACGGAAGATGCTGTTCAGGAGGTTTATTTCTAAATTGATTTCTGAATTTCCTGTAATTGTTCTTTAACGATGTAAAGGAAATTTTTCACGTCTAGGTTTTGAACGAGTCGTTTAATGCAGAGGAACTTTCACAGTTAGATGATCTTCATACATCACGGATTACTCGTATTCTTACTGCTGACTTTCCCATGTATTTTGCTGTAGTCACTCGCATTCGCCAAGAAGTCCATTGTGTTGGACCTGAAGGCGGTGTAATTTTATCAACTGTCGTTCCAAGAGTTCAGGTTTGTCTTGTTTTCTTTTGTGCTGATTTCTTCAACAAAATTGTCGCTGTTTTAAGTTTAGCTATCAACTGTAGCTGTAAATGGTACCTGTTGGCATGACTCTACAGATTTTTCTTATTATTGAAGCGACTCGCAGTTTCGTTTTCAATATTGCAGGCTATATTCCCTGATGGGTCTTTAACAAAAACAATCAAGGTCTCGGTGCAAGCACAGGTGGTTCCGCAAGAGATAGTGACGCGTTTGCATGGGAATAGAGTCGCTGTTTCACCTATTGTTACTGTTGAGCCCAGAAGGCGGAAATTCCATAAACCAATAACATTATGCATTCCTCTTCCACAAAGCTCAAACAAAGGAATGTTAACACAGTACAGGTAGGCACACTGTTTATCTGAATATTTGTTTCTTTCATGTAGGTGTCGGAAGTTGCGTTTAAGCTTTTGAAACATCGGAAAAAAACTATAATTCTTTTTCAGTAATGTTTTGAAAAACTCATTGTAATTACGAAACTTTGTAGTGGTCAGCCAGGGCACGACCCACCAACTTTAAGACTTTTGTGTAGTATAACTGGCGGTTCTGCTCCTGCGCAGTGGGAGGACATTACTGGAACTACGCAGTTGACTTTCACCGGTTAGCTCTATTTAAGTAGCCCACTTGCAGATTTCGCTCACCAAAGATTTTTTAAAATAGCAGTTACTTTGCAATTTAGGAGAGGACGTCTCGTTTACCACCACTGTTTCTGCTCGATTCTGGCTGATGGACTGTCAGACTCCAAGGGATGCTGCAAGAATGGCGCAAGAAGTTTACAATGAAGCGATTGCAGTGCCATATATGGCGAAATTTGTTGTATTTGCGCGACGTACATTCCCCACGGAGGGACAGCTAAGGTATTTGCTATGCTTGTTACAGTAGTATGAAATGTCTTTTGAAATTTCAAGAACCGGCTTTGCTATCCTTATGGTTTAG